CCCTCCGGCCGGGGCCACCAGCTTGTCCCCGGGGCTGGTGGGTGTCCCCCTGTCCCTGCTGTCACCCACATTCTCTGTGGGAAGAGAGCATGGGGGTGTCAGGCAGGGATGTCAGGCAGGGGAAGGACCCAGATGCTCCTGCAGCACAGTGGGACAGCATCCCACCCGGTTCCCGCCCACACCTCGGTGTGTCCCCAAGTCCCCCCATTTCCTTCTCCCAGTCAGGGACCTCAGCACAAGAGGGCTCTTAAAACAGCCTCAGGGCAGCAAATGCTGGAGGAGGGAGCTCTGAAACTGCGTGGGAGGCAACATTGACACCCACATCCTTTCCTGGGGCACAAGGAGCCAGGGTGACACAGTCCCTACCGCGCAGAGGTGACCCCCCTCCACCGAGCAGGAGGTGGCCCCTGTTGATGGCCCCGAAGTTCCCTGGGGAAGCACCCTGTCCCCCTGCTCACCTTCGTGGGGGACGCAGTACACCGGCCCGTCATCTGTGGTGTCAAAGGAGGAGAAGGAGCCGCGGGATGACCAGGATGGGGAAGGCTGCTCCACTACGGAGGGTGGCTCAATGAAGCTGCAGTTCAGTGTGTTCTCCAGGTCATGGTGGGCCACTGCGAGGGCAAAGAGCTGCTGTCAGTGCCCGTCCTGATGGACCCTCCAGCCCCCACGCCAGCCAGAGGGTGGGATCCTGCACAGGTCCCCCCTGCCCAACTTGCTGGTGGGCACTGGGGACAGGGACAGCATCCCAGGCATGCGGACAGCTCTTGCCATGCATCCCCACCACATCCCCCAGCCAAGCACCCACAGAAGCCATCAACCAGCAATGGTGGTGACCAGCATCCCCCACGCTTGGGGACAAGTGGCTGTGGACAGCAGAGCCTGTACAAGCCTTACACCTCCCATCTATCCCTGCTCTCCACGGCAGGTCTCCAGCTGCCCAAATTGAGGATGCACATGGCGGAGGGACAAGCCACCTAAAACCCTGGGTCCCATAAGGACCCAGTGACCGTCCTGGTGGTCACCCATGAGCTGTGCAACCCAGCACAGCCACAGCCAGAAAGTCCCAGCACTGTGATCATCCCCTTCCCGGGGGAATGAGCTGACAACTTTAATTGCACTAATTTCCACTTCAGCATCACTGTTTGCATTTTCCTTTTCCTTCTACTTCTGCAAAAGGAGGTAGAAGGATGGTGAAAGGATGCCTGCGGCAGGGGGATGCACATCACCATTTTTTCCCAATTCTGCCACTTCTCAATCCCTTTGCCAGCTTCTCCCATCCTGAAGCTGAGGAGGAGCATCCCCCCTTGTCCTGGCGCTGCCACCTCTGCCGTGGCGGCTGCCTGCAGAGAAGCTAAGCGGAAGAGATAAACCACTGGAGAAGAAAAACTTGGTGTTAAAAATAATTTTTGTTTCAATTGTTTAAAAAAAATAAAAAAAAAGCTGAGCAGTGATAGCAGGAGGGACTTTTTTTTCTGTTGATCGGTTTTAAGGCTTTTTGCTGGGTAAGTTCATGTCCCAACGCACCCCGCGGGGCTTCCCCAGGTGCCCGCAGCTTCAGCATCATCCTCAGGTACCCACAGGACCGTGGCAGCACCCAGCTAGGTGGAGGGGACCAGATGCTGTTGTCCCCCTCCCCTGCCTGATGGCTTTTGTCCCCTGGGACAGCGGGAAGCTGCCCCCAAACCCAGGCAGAGCCCTGCTTTGCCGCAAGGGCTGCAGAAACCCAGTGTACAGGCGGGCTCCCCCTGCACAGCAGCTGTACGTAGATATTTCCAGGTACTTGTAATCTCTGCCCACATATCCCAACCATCTAAGTCACACTGCAATTTCCTGATGAGACTGTTTGATTCTTGCACCACGTCCCTGTTTTGCAATAAAATAACCTTAAGTGTTATTGGGATGCCCACCAGAACATTTATTCTTTATTAGGGAATCTGGCTTCAGAGATGCAGGGTCATTAAAAATGACAGCAGCGATGCACGCTCGCCCCTGCATAGTTTGGCTTCTTGAAGAAAGGAAAAAAAACCCCAAACAACACAGTGATATTTAAAGAGTAAACGGCCTGGAGAGGGGGAAGCGGCAGTTTCAACATGGCTTTCCTTGTAATAAAAACCAGAAAGGGAAAATTAAAAGCAGCCGGCTGGAAGCAGATGAAGGGAGATGCTTCCTGAGAGGAGGTGTGACGAGTGGTTGGGACTCATGGCCACGAGGCGTCTCCAGGACTCAAATGAGACCCAGGATATGGCCAAAGTATAAAAAGAGGATGTGCGGCACACCTGAAGCTGGTCTCAGGGGCTCCTGCATGGTCCCCTGAGATTTATCTCCCCTGGCTGATATATTATGGGCTGATAGGGCTGGAAGAAATGTGGATGCTTCCCACAGGTCCCTTCCTGCTGCTGCTCCCCAGAATATCCCGGGGCCGCAGCATCAGGGTGCCAACCCCAGCCCTGCTTGCACAGCAGCCAGTCGGTCTCAAGACTGGGACGAAGCAGCGAGGAGCTGCAGAAGGGCCGTGGGAAAGGTCGTTCCAGAGCCCTGGCCACTGCCTCCCGCTCATCCCAAGCTCCCCGCGGTCGGTGTCACCCTCGGGGCTGGCTGAGCTTTGCTGCTTGGAGAGGAGATGTGGTGGTGGGGTGTAGAAGCGGGCACTGCGCAGTGCAGAATTTGGGTTAACGCCGGCATACTGCTGATGTTCCAAGAAGCAAACTCTGTGAAACTCACACATAGAGGGATGCCTAAACCCTGGCACTGCGGCCACTGGTGTCAGCTGAGGATGTGGCTGTGTGGATGCAATCCCCAGGGAGATGCACCAGATCTGAAGCTGGTGCCAAGGCTGGGGAGCAGCTTTTGAGGGGGGCATCTGGGGCTTCAGGCACCCAATGAGCTTTGGCGGGGCTTCAAGACCTGCTGTCCCACCTGGGAGGGTTCTACCATGTGTGGGCTTGTGCTGGCCAGTGGTGACCATGATCATATTTGAGTCCAGAGGGCAAAATCCACCCAGAGCCAGCAAACGCATGGCCATGGTGACGGCTCTGCAAGGATGTGAGCACATCCAGAGCAACCATCTACCAGGTGTCCTTGGCTTCAGCCAGCAGTGGTTTCACTGCGACATCCCCACAGGGACACCTTCAGCGCTGACCTCGCACTTGGGATAGGGCATTTCAGCATCCCCTGGAC